CTCACGTTGTCCCTGCTGTTTCCAACTTGCCCAGGAAGGTTTTTGATGCCAGTCTCTGCTATTACCTTAGCAGGTTTGTGTGTAAGAGGCACACTCGTCTCGTCCATATTCCAAATCTTTTTGGGCTGATCTTTGAGATCCAGAGAGGTGAGTGTCTCGTCCAATGAACGGAAATACTCTGCCGTTACGACTGGATTCAGCATCCTTGCTCGGACCGTGAATATGGCTGTAGGGCTCCAGATGCTGAGATCTGGGTGACGTTTTAGAAAGCCAGCAAGCCATTCTTTCCCAGGAACACCTTTAGTAAATGGTGTCTTGATGTTTATCTTCTTCACAAGTCGTGCGACCTTTACAGCTAACATCATGCGAATTAACCCAAATCCCTTAATGGCTGCACCTTTTATTTTTCTTACTAGCTCTTCTTCAACTTCGAGCGAAAGTACTGTCGGGCGTCCTTTAAGGCAAATGTCGTCTATTCTGTTTTTCACCCTATCTTGTATTGTCATGACTGGGATGCCATATTTTACAGCCGCCATTCTGAGGGAGAGCTGTTTGTTCCTTACACTTTCTACCGCTGCTAATAAGCTTTCATTAGAATACTGAGAATATCGTGATGTTTTCTTACATTTTGGTTTTGCGGCATTGGTTGTTTTCACCATATTCTAGAAAGATAAGAAACCAAAAATATATTAAATCTATGTTATTTTATTTTAGTATTTGATAGATTAGCTTAAATATACTATATAATAACATCTGTGCCATATCAAAATTGTTAGATATGGCATGTATGGACATGTCTTTAGGCACAGACTGCGGTCGTCCGCACTCATTGTGCATATAGAGGTGTCGGCTGGATGTCAGATAATTAGAGGATTAATGGCAGTATCATTAAGTAGCTGTACAGTTACCCTATTGTAGCTGCATTATCATTTTTGTGTGCATATTTATTTTTTCCAGATGATGTTTTGACATCAACGATAAGGCGGAAGTCTGGATGTGTAAAACTATATTTCGGCATGGCAATATTAGGGGAAAATCACATAGGGGATTCTCAACCAACTTTAAAGATATATACAAACTTGAATGCTTCGTAATTGTAAATTTCGTTATCAATCAACATTTTGATAACAAGGATTCAATATTTTTAGGTCACCTGAGACAAAGTCTCAAGTGACCTTTTGCGATCTCCTTTTGTCCGGCATCGTCCGGCATTGTCCGTCGTCCGTCGTGCGACCGTAAACAATTTACATTTTCGACTTCTTCTCCAAAACCCCTGAACCAATTTCAATGAAATTTTGCAGAAACCTTCCATGGCCAAAGGTCAACTAAAATTGTGAATTATATGGTTCCCAGCCCCAAGGGGCCTGAGGGGCGGGGCCAAAAATGGTCAAATTAACTAAAATTTCAAAAATCTTCTTCTCAAGATCCAGATATGGTAGAATCAAATACTTTAAATAGATTGAAGGGTCTTGAGGTGCTTTACTAATTTGTGACTTTCTTGCCCTGGGGTGTCACGTTTCCCCCTGGGGAGGGGGTTAACTTTACTATAGTTTATATAGGGAAATCACATTTTGGACCAACATTTGTTTAATTGCCATTGGAAGTAATTTAATTTTGGTTAGCATTATCAGTTTTGGGTAGCAGTTTGATAGTATGCACATATCAGCCCTGACTGACCCCCAGGGGCTGATGGGTGGGGCCAAAAAGGGTTGAATTGACTGAAATTTCAAAAATCTTCTTCTCAAGACCCAGATATGGTAGAATCAAATACTCTTCATAGATGGAAGGGTCTTAAGGTG